AAAAAAAAAAAAAAAAAAAAAAAAAAAAAAAAAAAAAATATATATATATATATTTTTGTAAAAATAACTTATAAAATAATAATAATTATAATTATAATTGTAATAGTTAGTAAACGAAAAGATAAACGACGAATAAATAATAGATAAATAGATTGAGAGTTGGATGCATAGCGCTCAGTATAAATCGATAGATAAATAATTATTTTAATTAGCAGATTCATATGAAACTGACATAAATATTTAACAGTTATAGTATTGAACATTATTCGTTTTAGTCTATTTGATTATTAAACAATTACGTTGTTTTGTTTTTGTTAATTGTGCAAGATATTTAAGATACAAGTAGTCTATTTCACTCGGCAATGAGTCGCTGATACTTTGTTATTTACCTCGTGGTTGAGATCGTTATTTTTCATCTGTTAATTTAGCAGCAAATTTTTTTTTCTTCAAACAGTCAATCAACGAGACATTAATTTAAAATGAAAAAAAAAAAAATAAAACAAAATAAATAAAAATAAAGTCTCATATTATTAATTAAGACTAAAACTATCTATCAAAGATACAATAATAATGTTCAATTAATCGATTAATCAAAAAATAAATAATCAATCGGTTAATTAATAATTATTACTACAAATGCTAGAGTAGGGATGGACCACTCTTTCGTATTGTTTGTTTAAATTATTTAACTTAATAATTTTCCGCCTGGATTCAGCGAACAGCAAACTCGTATTTCAATAAATTAGGTGTTTTTTTTTTTTTTTTTTTTTAAATTAAACTAAGCTGCATTATTAAATTATGGTAGAACAAAAAATACTGTTCCGTACTAATAATCTTCATTAAATAATTGACAATTTTTTAATTAATCAGTTACGAAGATACGAAGATTTTGAATATGAATAAAAATAATCACTTCAGGATTTAAATTCAACAAAAGTGCACGCTAAACAAGTTTGCTAATAATCACTCTGCTTTGAATTTAGAACATCCATCTTTGGCACAATACAATTAAAAAACAAAAAAAATGAAGTAAAGAGAAGACAAAAATGAAACAGAGAAAAAGCAAAGTGAAGACGCGCACGTATTACAATTATTTTGATCGAAGGCGGCACTGTAAACACTAAAATAGCCAGATTATTTTTTTTATCTACATATTAATGTAAATATGTAGTTACATTAATTTTTTTTTTTTTCAATGATTTTTTAATTTTATTTAACAGGAAATTCGTCAGAAAAAAATTTCTAAAAAGCTGCTTTTGAAATTTATTTACTTTTGTGTCATATTAATAAAATAATCGACAGTTTTAATTGTTATTGATATTAACATATTTATTGGTATTTGATAAATTATTATCAATTAAATGATAAATATGTAAACGAATTCCAAAAGAAGCTTTTTGTTTACTGACAAATCTCCTTAAACTTACTAAAGTTAATTACTTATAACTTTATTTAATAAAAGTTCAGTATTGCTAGCACGATTAACGCATTCGTTTTTAAATAATTTTTTTTTTTTTAACATACATGCTGATATTACGATGATATATTTAATTATAATTTTAAATGAAAAATGAATTAGAGCTGGTAGCTCAGTAGTCCTTCTCTTTCTCAGTAATAAAATCTACACCTGGCACTCTTGACCCTCAACAAAAAATTAACTAAAAAATATCAAGCAAAATCAGCAGCTAGTACCGTCACTTCACTAATGCAATCACCCCCCTAGGTATCATTTGTCATAACACTAAACATTAATTGTCGAAATTGAAAAGAGAGAAACGGAAATAGAGAAAAATATTAACAGATTTAAAAACACTAGTGTGAAGAGAAAAGATTAGTTATTTAACATTTAATTTAAATAAATCAGTCTCCACTGGCATCGCTTTCAATCGGCATTTCTTCATCGTCGCTACCGATCACTGCAGGTAATAGATCTTGATCCTCAATTATATCTCTTCTATATCTCGCTGCGTTTTTTAGTTTCTTAGCAGCTAATGCCTGTTCGTCTTCGGGCGAACGTTTCTTACGAAATTCGTAGACTAGCGGAAATATTTGCTCAATGGCCGCCCCAACTGCCGCGACATTAGGTGCTGAAAAATTATTTTTACTTTATTTATCTTTCGAGTAAATATTTAGCTTTGTGACAAATATATTTTAATCTTAATCTCAAGCATCCTAAGTAAATAAAAGAGTATTTAAAAGGTTCTAATACCTGTGATAGTAACACTGCCCGTTGAGAATATTTTTAACGTAGCTTTTGGATCTTTTAGCTTGTATGTTACACCTGGATGTAATTCTGGTTCGTAGCTGTATTTTAAATAATTTTATTAGTTTGTATATTTATAACAATGTAATCTTTTTATTTTTTATTTTTTATTTTTTAATAAATTATAAAATTAAATAAATATTTTTCCTAATCATTTGCATGACACTGAAATCAGCAAACATTTAAAAATTTTTTAATTTCTCTTTAAAAATAAAGATGAAAATTTATTTAGCAGGTATTTAATAATTTTTCCAACCAATAAATTATGGCCAAAAAAATTGAGATGTAAAAATTTAAATAAATTAAAAGTGCAATTTTTTAAAAATAATTTTTCGGAATAAATTCATTTGTTAAAAAAAATTAAAAAGTGGTCAAAGTTACTGCTAACTTTAATGTCATGAAATAAACTAGGTCCAGAAAATTATTTAAAAAAAATTGCATTTATAGTTTTTTAAAGCTTCTAAAGATTGAATTTTTTTAAATAAATTTTTTTTGCTATAATTTATTCATTAAAAATTTTCTAAAAATTATCAGATGTCTATAAATTTTAGTCATATCATATAACTTGTTTAAAAAAAATAAATATTAAATAACTTATCAATAAACTTACTCAGCATTTTCTTTATGGCGTTGGGAGAAGTTTGTAATTTTAATAGCCCATGGCATTAAACAAGTCCCTAAGACATTAACAACCCGAAAGTTATTGAACCTAACTTTAAATCCGAGCTTCTGTAAAGATCTTGCAATTCTACGAGCAGCGACTTTGGCCTCGTGCTCCGTCTCAGCACCGGTGCAAGTAACTTTACCCGAAGACCAAATAGATGCAGTAGTGTATGGCCTTCTCAGCTTCATGGTAATCATCTAACAAAATATTCCATCAATAATCCATAATTTCGCTAATCACCAAATTATTTCTACAAAAACTCACCCCATTTTCCTTTCTGTACTCAACGTTAGACCCATTAAGAGCAATTTCACGTAAATTGAGATGACATCTCACACTAAAACTACAGACGACATTTCTGATGAGAATGTCTATCTCGGGTTGAGCTTCTGGCTCTTCCATAGGAATGGGAATATCTGGCTGATGATTGTAGGGGTTATTTTCCTCGGCGTTGTTCCGTGTGTCGTTTTTGTTGTCCAGAGCCTCATGGTTCTCGACATTATTGATATTTCCATTGGTCAGTGGTTGCATGCCATTCTGTTGAACAGCAGTTGCCATAATACTATGCTCCTGTAGCTGGAACAATAATATATTAAGTTACTCCCACACCAATTTCGATGATAATAAAACACCAGCTATCTCAATAATTTGATGATTACCGTCCTGTCCAGCATGGGAAGTAGATAGCAATAAAATAACTTTTTGATTTTGTATTAACTAATCACTGAAAAAAAAAAAATAAATAAATAAATAAATAAATAAATAAAATTATAAGTACAATTTTTGATTGATCATTGATATCAATTTAATCAAAAGCAATTTATTATCTAACATTTAATTAAATAAACAGCAATACGAATTAATGAATTAAAATAAAATAATTAATTAAATTAATAAATAAAAATAAAAACAGCGCGAATATTTGAGATAAATAATTTATTGTAAGTTAACGAGTCACCGCTAACACCCAAGTCCTGAGAAATATTTGGACATCACCTCTCATTGAAAATAATTATTATTAAATATAAGTATATTAGCTGTAATTATTACCAGCGATTGAGTAAATGAGACTTACATTATTACAAGGCATACACAATAATCTATTAGATTGTTTTATTAGCAACAAAACTTTGTTGACAAGTTAATTTTTAAGGATAGATAAACGCGCAAAGTTGATTTCAATAACCATTACCATTGTTTGCGGCCATATTCACTAGACTACTGGTGTGTGTGATACTGCTGCCTATGCTAGTTGTCCATGGCCAAGACGGCCAGTGCAAGGACTACTGTTGTACTGTAGTTTGCTTGTGTTGCTTCACCTCCCAGTCCCACTCTACGCATATACACAACCTCTCCGATAGCCAAATCAAACTACACTCACTATCTTTATATCTTTATATCTTTATCCTTGTCCTTTTCTTCTTTCTTCAGCTCCAACCGCTTTATTCTCTCCTTCTATTCCCTCATTATCTACATCCGTCGTCAGTCGTCGTCTGCCGTTCGACGGTCTTCGTTCGTTCACTTCGTTGTCCCAGTGCTCTCCCCCACTGTGCTATTAAACTCGAAACTCCATCCGAAATATTTCATGAAAATAACTTCTCAGAACCTTCCAGAATTAATGCTCTTTTTCTTCCATTGGCTGTCAGTTTCAGGGAGAGGAAAACTTCGCGACAGTTTTAAGGCGGGTTTCTAAATTTTAGTTACTACAGTCGAACTACTGAAAGCTTTCCCTTTTCGTTCCTGGGTACCTCACACGTCCCCACCACAGCGTCGCCTCCCACCAGAACTCAATGTCAAAGTACGCATGTGCGGTAAAAAGTAGTATCCCTCCGCGAGCGGCAAATTCAAAAGGGAATAATTAAAAATAAATATAGAGTAAGCAAAAGTAAAAAATAATTAACGTGAGAATGTTTATTAGATATTTTTTTTCTTTTTTAAATTTAAGTACAAAAAGTTTTTCAAAAACAAAGATAGTAAACTTGGGAAAACGGACCACCGTTTTTATTTGTAATGACTATTGCTAAGAATGAGCAAAGATAAAATTTGGAAAAACGGAACACCGTTTTTATTTATGATTATTATTATTATTATTATTATTATTATTATTATTGCAGAGCAAAAGAATTAAACTTTAAAAAACGGGCTTTCAGTTTTTTAAAAATAAATTTAAGTAAAAACGGGACACCGTTTTTATTTATGATTATTGCCAAGATTGAGTAAAGAAATAAAACTTGGAAAAACTGACCACCGTTTTTATTTGTAATGATAGAATAAGCGAAAAAATTAAACTTCGAAAAACGGAACACCGTTTTTATTTGTTATTATTATTGCAAAGAATGAGGAAATTAAACTTCGAAAAACGGACCACCGTTTTTAATTCTAATGACTATTGCTGAGAATGAACAAAGAAATAAAATTTGGAAAAACGGACTACCGTTTTTATTAGTGATGCTAATGACTATTGATAGAATAAGTGAAAAAATTAAACTTCGAAAAACGGAACACCGTTTTTATTTATGATTATTATTATTATTATTATTATTATTATT